GCCACAGCTGAGAGGAGCAGTTCAGCAAATGAAATCTGGAAGAAAACAATACGGTTCTACAATAGTTTGGCATGCATGCCGGAAAGTGGGGCAACACTCTATAGCCGCATCACATCAAGGTCACCTTGCCAGCCTCCTAAACTTCAATGTCAGCACCATAGTACCTCGTGGAGACCAGGAGGCAAAAAAGGTTGACACCAGGCTGTTTGTTGCACTCTTGTCCCCTGGGCCTCGCTTCTTGATTGGAGATTTGAAGTTTTCACTCTGATCCGTGATCCTAAACTTACTCCAATGGCCAAAGACGCCCCCCTTTAGTTTGACCCCTATAGGCCCCCCATGGGTGATTTGATGGATCCAGTGGAGCCATTCCCCCCAAAATATCTAATCCTTAAAAGCTCATTAAGTAATTCAGGATTGACCTCATCCAAGGATTTTTCATAATCTAGCTCAAGGACCAACTGTTGTCTCTTGCTCAAATGAACAAAATGTAGCACTTCATGAGCAGTAACCACACTCTCTAATATATATCTACCTTTAAGAAAGTCAGATTGATTACTAGCTATGAGTCTTTGAAGAACTTTGGCCAATCTGTTAGTGAGTACCTTAGTAAAAAATCTTAAAGCTACAATTTAGTAAGAAAATTGGTCTGAACTTCTTCATAGAAGAGGCATCAACTTCTTTTGGAATGAAGGTCAACATGGCAAAATATAACCTAAAAAATGTCAAAATCACAATTATGAAACTCTGTAAACATAGCTATCAGGTCCTTCTTGACCAAGCCCCAGAAATGCTGATAGAAGAAAAAAGGTATTCCATCATGGCCTCAGGCTCCGTCAGAATAATAGTCAAAGACTGCCTTTTTAATCTCATCTTAAAGAAAGGAGCCTCTAACAGTTCATTTTCTTCAGGTTTGACCTTTTCATCTTCAGAGAATAAGCCAGAATTTAGCTAAAATCCTTTCCTCTCCCCTAATTTGAAAAGGTCTTTATAGAGAAACGTTTTACGCCAGTGCGTCGACCGAATGCTGGGCCGGTTGCACCGTTGGATCGATCACGTGGCCCTCGCTACTAAGCCAGCTGCGCGCCGCATGACCGCTCAACCAGTTCACCTTATCCTTTGCCATCGATGTCGACCGCTCAACCTCTCTCCTTCCACAAGACGCTTCTCTTTCTCCTCCTCTTCCAGTTCCATCTCCCCATCCCGGTCGGTGTGGCTCCTCCGCTGATCCTTCCCCTCCTCCCCACTCCTCAGGCGAGCCCACGGTAGCAAATCCGCTTCCTGGTGACGGAATCCAGCGAAGCAAGATGCTGCAACGGCGGCCGGCGAGCTTCAATGACGTCCTGGACCGCACGTCGCGGGATGCTGCAATGGCGCCATGGCAAGCTGGAATCGTGCGACTCCCTACACCACACCCCCGTGTGGCGTGCTGCAACTAGACGTAGAGGAGCTACAACCACCGATAGGGCGTGCTGCCACCAGAGACGAGGAGTGTTACCACGGTCATGCGGCAAGCAAGCACAGTGCCAGGATGCTGGAACCAGAGATCCATTTTGATGGAAGCAACATTTTTTTCCTGGAACCGGCCTTCTTTCCCAGCTTGCAATGGGGCTCGGCGAGCTAGGTGCTACAACTTGTGATCCTGTTTGCTGGAACCAAATGATTTTTTGTTGGAACCAAATTCTCTTCTTGAGCTGCGACGGTGAGGTGAATTTTTGCTGCATTTGTTGTTTGTAGGATTTTTGCTGGAACCAGATTAAATTGTTGCTAGAAATGTCTGTGTGTTTTGCTACAATCATATTTCTACAGAGATTTGTTGTTTTGTGAGATTTTTTGCTGGAACGAGTGTTACAACCGGCTATGAGATATGCTGGAACCGTATCAATTTTTTGTTGGAACCATAGGTCGTTGGTGGTCGCTTCCCACAAAATGTCTGGAACTGGTGGTGAACTTTGTTGGGACTGCATCATTTTTTTGTTGGAACCATGGTCGCCATAAAATATGCGGGGGTGGATGTTTTTGACCTCCGACGGGCAGCGACCAGCCGGGGATAGGGAAGGAGGTGCGGGGGCGCGCTGGAGTGGGGTAATGAT